CGCTCCTGAGCACAGTGGAGATCGGGGGATCTCACGCTCCTGAGCACAGTGGAGATCGGGGAATCTCGCGCTCCTGAGCACAGTGGAGATCGGGGATCTCATGGTCACAGTGGTGGTCAGGGGGCAGCTGAACATGCTGCAGTGATGAGCGCTACCTCTTCTTCAGAAAAACCATCATCCCCTTAATATGAGGTAGTAGTATAGAATTTCAGCATCTGGTTGTAATGTTTTGCAGGCATGTTTTGCCATGTTAGAGCAATGTCATTTGTTGTGTTCAAGGTCCAGTTTCAGGTGAGTATTCTGTCATTCTTTGGTATTTGGGTGTAAAGCCCTTATGTGGTGTGACTGCTTGAAGTCTGCAGCCCACTGCCTGCATCACCAGACCCTTGATTTGTTCCTTTGAGATGCTTTGCCACACCTTCAGTCTCTTGTCTTTCTTGCCTGTGGGGGGTTTTGGACTTCTGTTTCCTGTTCAACTAGTAAAGCAGGAATCCAGTCGTCCCCCTGTCAGATTGTCAGATAGCTCCGGCTCAGTCCAGTTTATTGTCATGTGCACAAGTGCAGTGAAATGCTTATTTGCGTGTGCGCTCCAACGCAAAGAAATTAAAGAAACATTAACACAGGACAACAGCAGCAACAACAAGTTAAATAACCTACAACTTAAAGAAGTGTGTGTGAGCCAGTGGCAGGGGTAGAGTTCAGTAAGAGGGAACGTGTGGTGAGGACAGTGTAAGACCAAACGTTTTCAACTGTCTGAGGTAGTAAAGGCGCTGTTGTGCCTTTTTTGTAGCTTCAGTGACCCTGCGTCCCCAGATGACAGTGTGTCCTCATGTGCGTCGGACAAATACATGAATAATTTAGTCAACAATAATGGTGAAGCTTTCTTTGTTTAAATGAAGTGCGTCATGATGAAAGAAAGAGGTTTGGGAATGGAAGAAGCCAGCGGGGGTTTCGCTGACGCGGCGGGTTGTGTCTTTTCCCCGGAGGATGGATGTGGGTAGCAAGGCGCTATCTCTGCGCGGCGGCCCGCCTGCCCGTGAGAGATAGGGCCTGAGCGCTCGCCCGGCCGCGAGCCGCGAGGCCGTCCATCAGCGCGCGCTGGCAGCTGAAGTGCTGGTGTCCCGCGGCGTGCTCGGTGCGATAAGAGGAACGAGCTCTCGTCGGGGGGCGGTGCGGGCGGCGGATCCCTCTCTCGTCACCTGCTCTGCGTCTGTCCCCCGGTCACCCCAAGTCACCGCTGGGAGCCGGGTGTCTCCTGTCAGGTCCCCTCAGCCAGGATATGTCAAAGCCTTACACCTCGCGTGGGGAAGATAAAGACTGCAGCCGGGTCGGACGGGGTGGGAGCCCCCAGTCTGTGACCTGCCAGAGCAGAGCCGTTCGCTCCAGCAGGACAGGGGTCGGGTCAGGGTCAGGTCAGAGGGGGGAGAGCTGGGTCAGAGACAAGTTGGAGATAAACTGGACTCAGGTCCGAGTCGGGCCAGACAGTTCT